CACTGGCAAGGGTATTAGCAATTTGTAATTCTTCATTGAGTTTTTCAAATTTTTCTAGATTTGATTTGAGATCTTTGTTTTCAGATGTTGTTGAATTTTCTCTAATTTCGCTTTGTCTCAATTTCTCACGTAACTCAAATATATCAGCATTCAAGTTAACTACACTTTTATTTAATCGTTCACATTTATTCTCCATCCTAGATTCCTCCGTTTCTAATTTAATTCTCAGGTCCTCAACAGATTGTTCAAGTCGGCCATTTTCTTCTTTCAATTTGGTCAACTGTTGACGATTATCATCCAAATCCTTCATCAATGTTTTTCTTTCTGCGGCATTATTTGATTTCTCGGCCTCCAACGAAGAAACCTCCATTTCCATCGCTTCCATTGCATCTTTAAAGTTTTCTGTTGTATCTTCTGCTTCCTTTCTCTCTTTGGTGATTTTTTCGATGTCTTCTTTAAGAATTTTTATTTCTCTGTCTTTTTCTTTAACATCTTCTTCCAGAGTTTCAATTTGCTTCGATGTGGTCGAAACCTCCATTTCCATCGCTTCCATTGCATCTTTAAAGTTTTCTGTTGTATCTTCTGCTTCCTTTCTCTCTTTGGTGATTTTTTCGATGTCTTCTTTAAGAATTTTTATTTCTCTGTCTTTTTCCTTAACATCTTCTTCCAGAGTTTCAATTTGCTTCGATGTGGTCGATACTTTTCCCTCGGCTACTTTGGTCTTCAGAATCTGCTGTTTATATTCAGTCTCTCGCTTTTCAATGACTTTCTGTAATTGTAAACAAGCCTCTTTTACTTCTTGGAGTTGATCTTCGACAAAAACTACTCGTTTTTCTGTTTCGGTTTTCTCACTGTTCAAGGTCTGATTTTTTGCTTCCAGGCACTCTTTTTCTTCTGACATTTTTTTCACTTGTGATTCAAGTTTTTCTAAATCTTCATTCAATTTATTTCCTTCTTCCATTTTACTCTTAAGTTCATTTTCTAATTCTTTCACTTGTGTCTGCAGCTCATCGGTGTTAAGATTCAAACCAGCCATCTTGGATTCACTTTCTTGCACAGCCTCTTTCAGCGTTTCAATTTCTTTATCTTTCTGAGTAATTTCAGATTCAAGTTTTTGTTTATCGGCTGTTGTGATTTTCATAAGTTCATCAAGTTCCATCTTGTCTACAGACAACATTTCGGATTCTGCATTCATCTTCTTGGATTCTTCTTCAAGATCTGTATATTTGGATAAAAGTGATTCATTTTCGTCTGATAATGTCTTGACCGTCTGTTCCAACTTTCTCTTTTCTTCCATTAAATCATCTAATTTGAGTTTCTGCTCTTCATTTGATTCTGAGAGTTCTCGTTTTTCTTCGGATGTCGTTAATAATTCTTGTTCTCTTTCTTCTAATTCAGATTGCAATTTCTCTCTGAACTCTGTTTCTGATGAAAGTTGCTCCATCAATTCCGTCACCCTCAAATCAATGGTTTCTTTCACTTCTTCTTCATTTGTTTCGTAATTTCTCAGTTTTTCTGACGAAACACATAACTCCTTTCTTAAATCATCTATAGTGCTGTTAGAATTAGACAATTTTTCTTCCATTTCTGAAATCTGTGCAGCCATGTTGTCGTTAGCATCCTTCAATGCCTCCTTGTCATGAAGTATTTGATCTCTCTCGTCAATGGCTTGTTGGGAGCTGACTTGAGATGCCATAAGGTCATCAAGAGCAGTAGAAATCTGCGATTCAAGATAATTTTTTCTATCTTCGGCTTCTTGCAGTGATTGTGCAAGGTTCCTAATCTTATCGTTTATGTTGTTTTTATCTTCTTGAAGCTCAGCCAATTTGTTTTTAGCATCTTGTGCCTCATTTTGCTTCTTCTCAAGTTCTTCCACAATCTGTTCCTTCTCATTTTCTTTCGCCTCAAGAGCCTTTTGATTGGCTTCTCTCTGCTTCTGCAAGTTGGCTATCGTCTCTTTGTTTGAGCCAATAGTTTCTTGCAGTTCATCAACCAATTTTTCTTTCTCAATCAGAAGTCTGGATGTTTCTTGGGATGAGTCTTCTGTCTGGTTGAGAAGTTCTTCAATTCTCTCTTCAAGTCTTGCTATGGTTGTTTTAAGGTCAGTATTTTCTCTAGTTCTTGAAACAACAGCATCTTTTTCTGTCTGTAATTCTCCTTGTAATTCATTTAGAACCTCTTCAGATTTTTTCAGTTCTTCACGAATGCTGTCCAGTTCTTCTTTAGATGCGTCTATGAGGTTTTCTGATTCTGCTGACCTACTCTTCATAGATCGGAGTTCAGTCTGTAAATTCATGATTAATTCATCTTTCTCAGTAAGTTGATTCTGGAGATTTATTATTTCATCCTGCCGGGATGTATTTTCTTCTTCTAGATCTTGATGTCTAGATTTCATCGTTTGTACTTCGGCTAAAAGCGATTCCCGTCCTTGAGACAATTTAGCAGCTTTTGATGTTGCATTGACATACTCTTGTTCTTGCTCACATGACTGCTGAAGTAGTTTTTCATTATCTGCTCTGAGCTGATCAATTTCTTCTTCAAATTGAACAGTTTGGGCCTCCCATGCCAGCTTTTCGTTTTCGAGATTTCGAATGTTCTGTTCCATTTCTGAGATCTTCAAGCGAAGATTTCCAACTTGGTCAGCAGACAAAACAGTAGTTGTTTCATGATCTTGGAATTTCTGGTTTAACTCTTCTTGAAGATTTTTGCAATCTTCCTTCAATCGTTCTTGGATATCTTCAGATGTTTTTAACTTCTGATGAAGATCTTTGACTTCTGCCACAGCTTCAAGAAGCTTTTCATTGGTGTCAGTAAGAGTTTGTTGTACAATTTCCTTGTCCGCTTCAGTAGCTTTCATGGCTGCCTCGGCTTCTGCAAGTTTCTCTTCTACAATATCCTTCTCTGCTGAAAGATTCTTCATCTCGACATTAGCAACATTCAGTCCTTGCACTAAGCTCGATTTCTGGAATTCAATATCTTCGATCTTCACAGCAAGTTCTTCTTTACTTGATTTTAAGAGCTCCGCTTGATCAGCAATTTCTAAAAGCTCATTCTCTCTGTTCTTCAGAGAGAAATCTTTATCTGAGTGGGTCTTCTGCAACTCATTGAGAAGATTCTGAGATATCTGAAGCTTTTCTGTCAATCTTTCAATTTCAGCTTTTTGTTCTTCGATTTTACATTCCAGTAGGTCAACCTTTTCTTCTGAATCAACTTCTGCTTTCATCTTTAGATGCACCATCTCCTTTAGTTCATTCTGCTGATCTTCCATTTTTGACTTCAATTCTTCAAGTTGACTTCTGACAGCTTCAAGTTCTGTATTAAGCTCTTGCTTCTCTTCGAGCAGTAGTCCATTTTTAGTTTCAAGATCTTGAAGATTAAGTTTCAGTTCTGCTTCTTTTTGTTCCAGTTCTGTTCTTTGACTGATGGTGGTGTCTTGTAGACTCAAATGGCTGTCTTTTAAAGAAACCAGTTCTGATTCAAGAACCTCAAATTTTTCGGAATGTTGCGTGCTGATTAAAGTCCACTCCTCTTCTTTTTCTTTACGACTGTTGGTCAAAACCAGGATTTCTTCATCTTTCAATCTCTCTGAGGTTCTAAGTCGAGAAATTTCATTATTCAGTGATGCAATTTTATCACCCATATCTCCATCATTAGCAGATATTTTCTCTGTCATCTCTTTCTCCAAGACAGAATACCGATCATCTGCTTGTAAAAGTTGTTTCTCGAGGGCTGAGATTTTGGATGATAAATTATTTCGAAGATTTTCCATTTTCATTTCATCCTCTTCCGTTTTCTTTTTGTGATATTTAACCAGTTCAGATTCTTGCTGGAGCAGTTGTTCAATTTCCGAGGCAGATTCCTCTTTTTCGCTGAGTTTTGTTTTCAATTCTGCAATATTTTCTTCCAAATTTTGGATTGTTTCTTTCATCTCTTGTTTGATTTGATTGCTGTGATTGGAATTCTTTTCATTCAGATCATCTATTTCTGATATCTTATTCCCAAGTTCTAATACTTCAGCTTTTTGGTTCTCCAAATCTTGTTGTAGCTCTATTACAGCTTGTTGACTTGCCTTCAACTGAGAATCGAGACTTAACTTCTCATCAACCAAGCGATCTGACATCTTTTTGTGTTCAGTTTCTTGTTCATTCATTTTGGTATTGAGTTCTTCAATCTCTGAATTCAAACTCTTAATTTCCTGAGCCTTTTCGTTAAGTTTTTCCTTGATCAAAGCCATTTCCTCTTTCAGTCTGTCAGAATCTTTATTGGCTTCATGTAGGTTGTCTGTCATGCTGTTCTGACTCTTCAGATAGGATGTTTCCATTTCTTCTAGTTCTGACTTTAGATCCTCAATTTTATTTTGAGCTATTTCCAGATGACACTGGAGGTCTTCATTTTGTTTGTTTTTCTCTTGGAGTCGTTCCTCAAGTGCCTTTGTTTTGGTGGTACTGGCCTCTGAATCATTCTCTATCTGTGTCTTGAAATTTTGAAGTTCGTCTCTCTCCAATGATATCAATTCTAGCTTTTGCCCAAGTTCTTTTATAAGTGCACTTGATTCCTCCAACTTCTGCTGTTTAGTTTCAAGATTATTTCTTTCATCAGAATGTTCAGCACTCAAATTTTCCAATTTATTTTGAAGTGTTGTTACTTCCTCTGATTTAGCTTCTAAAACTTCTTCCATGGCTTGAAGTTTTGAACAGATCTCTTTTTGTTCTGCCTGGAGATTGGTTTTCTCTTCTGCTAGTGCTGCCATTTTGTTTTCCCATTCTTCCTTTAAGTTTGTCGTCTTAGTTGTTTTGTCACCCATTTCACTTTGAAGATTTTCAGTTTCTGACAATAAATCTATGTTCTTCTGACCAAGGTTATCTCTCTCTGCTTGTGTATCTTTTAGACTTTTCACTGTTGCATCAAAGTCAGATTTGAGTTGGTTGTGCATGTTTTGCAAGTTTTTCAACTGGGTGTTCAAGTCTTCAATGAGGTTGTCTTTGTCTTCCAGATCCATCTGTAACATTTGTAGCTTTGACTTCACGCCATTGGCTTCATTCATAATGTCTCCACATTCTTCTTCCTTTAATTTCTGGTTATCAACGAGACGACTTTCAAGCTGTGATGATGATTCTTTCAAAGATGTCAACTGTTTATTTTTCTCTTCCATCTCCAATCGATTCTCTTCCAACTGAGCTTGTAATCGGTCACACTGGGCAGACAATTCTTCATTTTCTTTAACTTTGACAGCAACTGTTTCTTTACTCTGCTGTAGCCATTTTTCCAACTCTACATTATGTTTCCTAAAGTTTTCCAGCTCGGATAACTTTCTGTCAAAGATCTCCTGCTTGTATGTAACTTGCACCTGCATGTTTTCCAGTTCTTTAGAAGATGTCTGGCTTGCATCTGTCTTCTCTCCTTCCAGCAGACGCAATTTTTCTTCCAGTTTAGCTAAAGACATAACTTGTGTGCTCAGCTCCTCTGACTGCTTCAGATTTTTTTCTTTTAGCTCATCCATGTTTTCCTCTAAGTACAAGCATCGATGTTTCATGCCTGTAAGTTCCTCGTTCTTGTTTTCGATGTGTCTGTTTAGATCACTGATGTTCTTCTCCAAATCTGCCACTTGTTTTATGTAGTTGGTGATGGTGGTACTGTTAGAATTTACCTCTGAATTTCGTTCATCTAAACCCTCTTTCAAGCCCATGCATTCTTTTTCGAGAGCTTGATATGCTATTGTCTTATCCTCAAGCAATCTCTTGTGTTCATTCAAACATCGTTCCAGATCTTGAGAGCTACTCTGGAGTTTCTCTTGTTCTGTAAGTAGGATCGACTTCTCTGCTTTTAGATTATCGAGGGTTTGACTCAAATCCTGGCATTCTCTGGATAGGTTTTCGTATTTCAAACCATCCGCTTGCAATCTGTTTTTAATCTCAGTATCTTCGGTAGAAGCTCTATCAAGGTTAAGCTTCATATGAGACATTTCTTCTGTAAGTTTGTCGTTACTGTCGGTCATTTTGGCTAACTTGTTTCCTGTGTCTTCCAGTTCTTTCTGCATTTGTGTTAGTTGTGAATCTTTGTTCTGCAGCTTTTCTTTTAAGTCAGCCATGTTTTGTTTGGCTTGCTCCATATTTCCATTAAGTTCACTCATGTCCTCTTCTCTTTCCTCCAAGTCCATCTGCAGCATGTCCAATTTTGCCTGCATCTTTTGATTTGTGCTTGTCAGTTCCTTCTGTTTTGCTTCCATGGCTTCTCTTTCGAGTTCCTTTTGGGAAAGGAGTTCTTTTGATTTCTCAAGCTGTGTGGTCAGTTGCTCAATCTGGTCGGTGAGCATGTTTACATCTGTCGTTAGACCAGCATGACTTGTACCAGCTTCTTGCTTCAAAGAATTCAGTTCTTGGAGGATGTCTTGTAATTGTTGATCTTTTTGATTCAAAGCAGCCTGCGCTTGTTCTAATTTCTGTTTCAAATCTTGACATACTGCTGACGAATCATCCAGCTGCATCTGTAGAGTGTTGTTGGTTTTGCCCATGTTTTCATTAACGCCCTGCAGCTCATGCTCTTTCTTACCGAGGATATCTTTAAGAGCATCAAGTTCTGATTTGGCATTTTGTAAATATTCTTTATCTTGACCATGGCTCTGTCTTTCTTCCATTAGTTGCGTAGTGGTTTCTGCTAACTTTTGTTGGAGATCTGACAATTCTTTTTCATAATTTTCCATTTTTGATACAAGTTGGCTTGTTTCTCCAGCCTTCTGTTGCGATATATTCTTCATGTCTGTGGACTGGTTGATCGAGACATTGTATTTCTCTGTGACTGTCTGTAACTCATCCTGCAAGTCTGCTAGATTCTTACTCAGGTCAGAAATTATGTTAGTCTTCTCAGTCAGTTCTTCCTTCAGATGACTTTCAGAATTTTGTCGGTTTCCTTGTGTATCTAAAAGAACAAAAAGGTGACAAATTAAAAAATTTTCTATCATAAGAAGCAGCTGATAATCAAAATGCAGATGGACGCTATCAAAACTATTGATATTTTTGTCAACATTTGAAACTGGATGCCTTTGTCCGCTTCCATTTTGCCTATTTATAAAGTCACATGTATCTTACCATGTGATGTTATTTCCATGGAAACGAGTTGACCCCAGTTGCTTTGAGTTTCTCAGGTCGACCTTTTTCAGTTCCATTCAGCTAAAGGCAGTTGCTCCCAGTTGCGGAAACGCCAGTTCCTCTTAGTTTAAGGTTGACATAAGCCCTGCTTAACGTTCTACTTTTTTGCGCTGACTGGGCTAGTGAAGAAGGACATACGCCCTACAGTGTGCCGTGGGGGAAATTTTGCCGGAACAGCGGTGCTACAGCCTACTGTTAGATCGAATTCCAACTGTTCAGGGGTCTTTTTCGGGCACACTAATGTGTACAAGAGACCTTGGTTTTTTGTTCCATCCGAACAACTAGACAGCTATCCTCGTCAGGCCTTTTGTTTATCTCCATTAGTATGTGCAGGAGGACCGCACTACACGCAAAACAAAAATCTACAAGATAAACCTGCGGACAAGACAGAAAATAGACATTGCACCAAATAAATAAATATCAAATGAAGTGAATGGATCCAGGTGGCCAGCCGTAAGCGTCCACTGCGCTGTACTATGTGATAATTCTAATGGAGATTAAAATACCTTTTAACTGTTGATCTCTATGTGATAATTGTTCCTTTGCCGTCTTTAACTCGTCCATTATTTTATCCAACTGTTCACATCTGTCTGCTAGCTGTTTCTCTAGATTATTCTTCTCACTTTCAACATTACTACAACAAAATATTATTAAAAAAAATATTGAGACTACATTCAATTAGTAAGAAAGACATCGAGTAACAGACTGCCTTTACAAAACTAAGTCATTAATTCAAGTTGATATATCTTCATTTCATTAATTTACTAGCGTGCAGAACTCTTCAGCATTAGCATTGGTGGGACAGACGAGACTGAAGATTTGGAGGTTCAGAATATTGTTTTGTTGTCAGACTTGAACTGAACTGTTGTTGTACGCAAGGAGGATATGCTTACTTACTATTTGTTTGGAAAATATCCATAGACAACAACTGGCATTAAATTATTGGGAAGCTAAGGTGGCTCAGTCGGTATGGCATGGGCTCACGAATAATGAGGCCTGAAGTTCGATCCTCGTCTTGACCAAGAAAATTCTTCTCGATTCCATCGTCAGTGGTGAGGGCCTTGCATTAGTAGCATGAAAACAGTGTCTTGTCATTTGGATGGGTCCAAGCAAGCAGACACAGAGAAATACTGTCAAGGCAAAATTTTCCTTATAGCACACTGCATGGCATATGTATATAGTTATTATCTCAGTTATTTTTCATGCTAGTCGTTTGAATGGGACAAAAACTGAGGTCCCGTATACACATTGGCATGCACATAAAAGATAACTTGAAAGTTGGAATTCGATGTAAGAGTAGGCCGTAGCGTCACTGTCTGGGCAAAATTTCCACCATAGCACACTGTATGATGCATGCCCGTCTTCATTAGCCCAGTCGGAGCAGAACAGTAGAACGTTAAACCCCATTTCATTTCTATTTCATATAAATTTCTTAGATATGATTTAATATGATATAATTCATTGTATAAGAAGTAAAGAGAGAGAGAGAAATAGGGTTTAACGTCCACTCGACAGAAACTAAGTCATTTCGGGACTAACATATTGTTTAATTTTATTGCAATAATTCGCTTGCGCATAGGGGTCTTTAGACCCGGAGAAAACCCACGAGGTTGTACAAGTATAAGAAGTTATACCTATGAATTGATTGTAAAGTTAGATATGATTTTGTATGATATAATTTATTGTATAAGAAGTAATACCTATGAATTGATTGTAAAGTTGTAAGATTAGTTTCTGTAAGATGTAATCTATCTGTGATTGTACAAAGATCTTTCTGTCTAACATCTAGTTGTTCAGTCAATTCCTCTATTCTATAATTGGCTTTACCCAATTCTTCATTTAAACTATTTATTTCTTTCTTACAATCTGAAAAACATCACCATCAACATCATATTCACAACAGAAATAGTTAAGATATTAACTCCACTCAACACAAACTAGATCATTCCAGGACTAACACATGGTTCAATCTTTAGCACTGGGGGGAAACCCACGACCCGGAGAAAACCCACGAAGTTGGACAGGCGACCCTACTCCTTGTCACATACAACCGAGGAATTGAAACCATGCCAGTTGACTCAATGACAGACCTTATGATACAACGGGCACGCGCTAACCATTCGGCCATCCAACTCCACTCCTGGTTAGTGGGCCAGCACCATATTCTTGGAGCCACCGTAGTTCCGTCACTGTGTTGGTGCTATCAAGAAATGAATTACCAAAACAAAATCAAGTTGCACCAAACACATTCCAGTTTGAATTTAATTTTTAAGTTGACTTGCCTTCCATTTTTTGCTCTAATGCGTTAACTTTCTGTTTCATATTCTCCGCTTTTGTTTGTCGTTCGTCGTTAGAATTGGACGCCTGTTGCTGTAAATCTTCATGTTTCTGGACGATATTGGCCAACTGCTTCTCTAACGTCTGCTTTTCTTCCTGTAGACTACAAAACTCCTGCTTTAACTTGTCATTATGAGAGCTTGCATCAGAAAAACAATGGCGGACTTTGTCCAGCTCTGATTTCAGAGTTGTTAATTCTGATGCTTTATTTTCAATGTCTGTAGATTTTTCAAAGAGAGCATCCTCGTAATGTTTCGTCAATCGCTCCTTTTCGTCGCTAAAAGATTTGGCTTTGACCTCAGAATCATGGGAGAGCGTTTGAAGTTGATGCTTTACAGATTCTGTTAATTTACACTGTGCGTCAAAATCTTTCTCTTTCCCACTGAGCGACGATTTAAGATGCTCGATTTCACCATTTAGCTGAGTTAGCGTCTCTTTTTTATCTTTTGCTTCCGAGTTCAATGTTTGTATTTGTTTATTTAGATTTGATATTTCTGATTGCAATTTGTTATTTTCGTCCTTCGTGTGTTTTGCTTCGCCGTCCGATTGTCGTTTCGTCTCTTCTATACGAATCTCATAATCACGAAGTGTCTCTTTCAAATTTTTAATGTCTAGCTCACGTGATTCAATGATTCCGCACTTGTTCTGAAGTTGTAAGTCTTTGTCTTCTGATAGATTTTTATATTTCTGTAACTCACTCTCATTGGTTGAAAGTTTTTTCACAAGTTCTTTCAGCTCGTTGTCTTTATCGGTGAATTCCTCTTGCAATTTTTTCAGTTTCTCCAACAGATTGTTTTTCTCTGAAATCAGACTATCATTTGTTCGTTTCTGTTCCTCTACGCTCGTAGTACACTTGCTAAATTCTTTCTCCTTCGTCTCAAGATTCTGTTGCAGACATTGTATCGTCGCTTTCGCTTCCTGTAGATCGGTTTTCAGATTTTCTATCTCGACTTTCTTACGTCCCAACTCAGCATCCAACGAACTTTTTTCGTTTTCTAAATCTTTTTGTTTCTTTTCTAGATCTTTTGTTTCTTTGTCCAGCCTGACGCGAAGTCTTTCACATTCGGCCTGTGCTGATTCCAGGTCGAGATCTTTGTCCATCATTTTAGCACGAAGTTCATTGTTGATTTGCTCCGCCTGTTCTTTATCAAGTTTATATTTGCTGACTTCAGCCTTCATTGTCTCTATTTCTTTATCTTTGGATTCAAACTTTGAAACAACTGAATTCTGGAAGAGAACACAAGAAAGGTTAATATTAATATACAAATAGACCTCCAATGATGCTGTTGCTTTCTGGTCCCTACAATCATCCATTCAAATCATGAATAAAGCCAGGTTATCTTGCCTATCACAGGATTTCTAGTTGTACACAACTGATATACTCTGCTATGCTCATACAATCCCAAGTCACTGACATCAGTAATATCCAGCTTGACATTGCACTACATTCCTGTAGATTTTATTTCCATAATTCATTCAAAATTGTGAGAGAGAGAGAGAGAGAGAGAGAGAGAGAGAGAGAGAGAAATGGGGTTTAACATCGACTTGACACAAACTAGGTCATTTCAGGACTAAAACATGGTTCAATTTTATTTCAATAATTCGCTTGTGCGTAGGGGTATTTAGCAGTAGCAGGAAACCGGAGGACCTGGAGAAAACCCATGAGGTTGGACAGGCGACCCTACTCCTTGTCACGTATAACCAGGAATTCGAAACCATGCCAGTTGACTCAATGACAGACCTTATGATACAGCATGATTGCATGTGCTAACCATTCGGCCATTCCCCCCCGCCCCGATTCAAAATTGTCCGAAGCACCTGCAGTCATACTAATCACAGAATGTGTCAAAGGGGCCAATAACTTGTTTTATAGTATCTATGCATTAAAAATGATTTGGCTTTTGCAAACCTTACTTTTGAGATGACCATTAAAATTTCGATAGTTATGTGTAAAACAAACCATCAAAATCTTTTTTTTGCAAGCAGGTTGTTGATCCTAGCAAAACTAAAACCTAAAAGCAGTTAAAATCCATCAAGAGATTTCTTCTCTCTGTCTGGCATTAAAGACCTACCTTTTCTTTTTCAGCAGCCTCCATTTTGTTTTTAATCTCGGCTACAGTTTGATCATGTGTATTAAGGGAATGATTTATTGCCGCTAACTTGTCGGTCAATTCTTTCTTTGTCTTCTCTAATTCTTGATTAGCTGTCTCGCTCTTTTCAAGCTGACTTCTTATTTTATTCTGATCTCCTTCGCTCTATCAAAAGATGAATAAAATAATTATATTTCTTGATATTTTACTTGAGTGGATTAGTTGGTGATAGTTGGTGATATGATGTGAGTTTAGGGCATATTAATAATTTATGGTGTGAGTTTAGGGTGTATTAATATCATGGTGTGAATTGAGGGTGTATTAATATTAATATGATGTGAATTGAGGGTGTATTGATATTAATATGGTGTGAGTTAAGGTGTATTAATATCATCCGTTTTCATTAGCCGAGGTTAGAGGCAGAACAGTAGGACGTAAAACCCCATTTCATTTCATTTCATTAATATCATATGGTGTGAGTTGGTGGCGTACATGTATCAATATTATAAAGTGTAAGTTTAGGGTTATTAATATTACATAGTCTAAGCTTAATATTATATGGTGCGAGTTCAGGTCATATTAATTAATATTATATGGTGTGAATTCAGGTCATATTAATTAATATTATATAGTGTGAGTTTTGGTCATATTAATATCATATGATGTGTGTTACGGTGTATTATATGGTGCAAGTTAAGGGGTGTATTAATATTACATGATGCGAGTTTACAGGTGTATTAGTATGACAAATCTATTACCAACCTGATTATAGTCTTGTTGTAATTTTTTACTCTTGTTTTCAAGATCTAACACCTGAAATAATCAATTGATGAATAAGACATAAACCTATATTTAAAGTTTCGTCAAACACGGATAATAATTGTGACTCATAGATTGTCCACAAACAAATTGTGGATGGAAGGGCATCCAGGGGCAACGACAGTATATGTCAAGATAAAAATGTGGGCGTATAAAAAATGCCTATTTAGAGAGAGAGAGAGAGAAATGGGGTTTAACGTCCACTCGACACAAACTAGGTCATTTCGGGACTAACGTATGGTTTAATTTTTTATTTACATAATTCGCTTGCGCGTAGGGGTTTTTAGCAGTGGGAGGAAACCGGAGGACCCGGAGAAAACCCACGAGGATGGACAGGCGACCCTACTCCTTGCCACGTACAACCGGGGATTCGAAACCACGCCAGTCGACTCAATGACAGACTTTATGATACAGCGCGCGCACGCTAACCATTCAGCCATCCAACCCCCCCATGCCTATTTAGTGTAAACAGGTACAAAATGAGTAAAAGACACCATTCTACCCAGACCGATTTTATGTAAACAATGCATGTGCTATCGATGTGAATGATTTGACACTGTATTGATGTGAGGTCACATTGAGAATGCATTTGAACTTACACAGAGTTAGAAGACACAGTGAAACAGATGGTCATTGTAAATGTCATTTCAGGACTAACATATGGTTTAATTTTATAATTTGCTTGGCCGTAGGGGTCTTTAGTGGTGGGAGGAAACTGGAGGACCCAGAGAAAACCCACAAGATTGGACAGGCGACCCTACTCCTTGTCAAGAAAAAATTCAGAGAATTTAATCTAAAAAAAACGATAAATACCTTATTGTTAACCTGATCGAGTTGAATTCTAACTCGACTGACTTCTTCTTTAAAGTGATTACTCTGCTTCTCTTTTTCATCCACCATCATTTCAGCTTTATCCAAGTCACTTTGAAGTTTATGTAATCTATTATTACTTTCAGTTATATCTTTACTCTTGGACTGTAACTGGATTTCTAGATTAGCTGTTCCATTCTTTAACCCTGTAAGAAACATATCAGTGGATTTCAAAATTAGCTGTTATATTCGTTTAACCTGTAAGGAATGATGGTAAGAGTGCGCAGCCTGGTCTCGCCAAGGCTGGCTTGATATGGAGGGTAGATCTGACTGGCATCTGGGTGCCTTTAAATGTTATAATGTAAAAATAATTAAACATCAAACAGTTTAATATGCATGTAGATAGATTACCTTGACAATAGATTATAAATAATAGTGTAAAAATTGTATTATAATACATCACTGCAACCCGGGTATCATTTAATCCTATGTATTCAGCACTTAATTGTAAGTTGGAAACTCATGATCAAAATTAATCAGTCAGCTTTAAACTAGACACAAGTACAAATTAGATGATTTGGGGTGATTTTAAATTATTTTTAAAGAAAGATTTGATATTACAAATGAATGTAAAAGAAATTAGTGCTAGATACACACACAAGATCAAATGATACCCAGGTTATAGTGCAATATGCCATAAAGATACCTTCATTTTCCTTTTTTAATCTATCAATAAGTTTTTCCATCTTTTCAACTTGCATACCAGTCATGCCTCTATTATCATTTAATTCTCGGCCCATCTGTTGAACCTTGTTATCTGAGGCTGTTGTTTTGTTTTCTAAACGCAAGGTCAAACTTTCTTTCTCTTTCTTTAGATTAGACAACTCAGCAACCAGTTTGGAATTATCTGTACCAGCCTTGAAAAAATAAATTAAATATAATTCAAATATTGATTAAAATAATTATTGCCAATCTACTTGAATAATATATCTCTTTCAAATCTTAAAGATCAATTTATCTGCAGTTTAAGCAAGTCCACTAGTGCAGAGCTGATCCATTTTCCAATGTAAGTCTCTCTCATCAGCATTCACAACAATACATCAGAATTTGATTGGTCTATAGTTCTTCCAAGTTTTAGAGTGGGACGTTAAAAAACCCATTTTATTTCTTCCAAGTTTTAGCATCATTTATTAAACTAAAGATAGAACTTTTGTTTAATCTTTTAAATAACAAATTGAAATAAAACACGACATCAACCCCATTTAACATTATCTATGTAAATCAAAGAGGAAATGAAATGGGGTTTAACGTTCTGCTCCTACTGGGCTAATGAAGGCGGGAATACACCATGCAGTATGCTATGTGGGTCTACTCTTATCTTGCATTGCAACTGTCAAGGGTTCCTTTACGTGCGCACCAATCTAAACAACTATACGTTGTCCCTTACCAGGGGTTTAGGTTTCTTTAAATTTATAACAATCTCAGGCAATATCTGTAAATTGTGTGAGCATATACATTCAACAGTGGAACGGTATAAATTGGCAATGAATTAATCACACTAGACCTATTATATTCTGTGAATAAATAGGTACACTGCTATATAAACTACATGTACATCAACTTCAAATTTTCACAACTATATAAACTACAAGTACAATGATTTTAAATTTTCACTGCTATATAAACTACATGTACAATCTTCAAATTTTCACAGCTATATAACCTTCATGTATATTGATCTAAAATTTTATTCACCTGTGATTGAAGAACTTTTAATTCAGCTTCCAAACTTTTATAAGATTCAACATCCTTTTCATGTTGTGATGTTAACTCAGCTATTTTAGATTTTAATGATGAGCATTCTGTTGCTATGAAATATAGGTAAGGATCAATATTTACATGAAATAAACTTAAACGACAGACAAGGCCTACAATTATTCAAAATTCCAACTGTCAAGGGTTCTTTAACGTTCACACCAACATATGTATAATATACATGGGAGCTTGCCAGGACCTTTGTTATAAGGAAACCATGCCAGAAATCACAGGAACATCTCGGTCAACAACAGACCCTTAGTTCACAAAGCAATCTCACACTCAAGTTAAGAATTTACCCAATATTGTTTGCCTTATTTTATTAATTTTAACTAAAATATAGCCCTTTATAAAACGTTTTTTGTTTTAATGTATCAAATACATCAATAAGAAACTACATGTGCAAAGTTTTGTGTTTCTGGATCAAGGATATTTCTCATAAACAGTGATTTTATTAAAAGTTGAGCAAATTCTTAACTTAAGTCTGAGAATGCTTTGTGAACTATTTATATAACATTACTAGACAAGATCATTACAATTTCACTCTCCATAAAAAAATACATAGACCTTTTGGTCTGTCGACAATCAATCGGTGAATTTCTGCAAGATCTCAATTTGACATTTATATTTCTCTGTGGATTAAATCTAACTAGCATACTGGATCCGGGAAAACCTTAAACTGTCAACAGTATATTTATCAAATTGTTTCAATGGCATTCAGTAACTGAACTTTAATACATGGGAAACAAATTCTATGGAATACAAATACTGCTTATTACTGACATTCAGCATTGCTTAATAATGACTAGAGAAACCTAGTTGAAATGTTTATCAATAATAAGCTGTAATTGTATTCCATAGAATTTATTTCTTATCTTGTAGGAGGGTGGGAAATGACGTAACCAAAGACTGAGATTACCTGTAGGACTTGTATTAGTAGCGGAACCGGTATAAATAGACTGATTAGTTCCTTTTCCCATTTCACCCTGTAATTTCTTTAAATCATTCTCCAAACATTTCACACGATCTGTTTGAGATTCAATCTGCGTTTTTTGATGATTGCTATATTCTTGTAGTTTAGCATGATCGGCCGTTAACTTCTCAAACTTTTTGCTGAATTCCAGATGTTCCTGTTGAGCATGCTCTAAATCGGACTTCAAATGAACAGACTGAAATATAAACGAAACGAAATGGGGTTGAATGTCCTACTCCGACTAGCCTAATGAGGACAGACATACATCATACAGTTTGATATGAGGGCCGGACTGCAGTGTTCAGCCTACCCTTATATGAAATTCCAACTGCCAAGGCATCTTTTATGTGCATGACAATGCATACAAGAGATCTCTGTTTTCCATCCCATCTGAACGACTAGACAGCTGTCCTTGTCAGGCCATCCGTCCTGCACCACACTGACACGGGTAAACCATGAGCTTGAGCAGGCAACCCTATGATATTTTTTTTGTAAAGGCCAATAATTCAGTCGTTATTGTTTGTATTTTAGAGGAGAGCCGAGAAAAAATCCCTTTAATCAACAAATTGAAAAAATCTCTCCCCTAAAAAAAAACCACTCCCAGTTTCGATAAGAAGAATGATTTAGAAATTAAGAAGAGTGATCTGATATCAAGGAGAGTGATTGGTTGTGTTTATTGGAAATGGTTCTGAAGATCAATAACTGCATGTTACTAACATTATTAGGGGGTCATTCCTGGATTCATAAATGATAATAAACCCCACCATGACTTTGTAAAGGAGAGCGATTTTCAATTTTAAGGACAGGGAGAAAAAGCTCCCCTCGGTCAACATTCAGGGTAGCGACAGGCGCTTGAGAGCGAATGCTCGCCTTAAAAAATAATGACTGATAATCACCTTTGAAATTTCATTGTCAACAGAAGTTTTAGTGTGGGACAATTGTCCTGTTAAACAGGAAATATGATTGTCTTTAGTTTGTAATTCTTGTGCTAATTTAGCTCTCTTCTTTTCTATTTCACCTAAATCTTTCTCCAGCACCTGATTGTCATGTTTTAATGTAGCATACAATGATTTCTCTTCCTCCAATTTTCTCTTTTGAACGGATAATGACTGGAAAACAAAGACAAAAAATACAGATTTAAAATATGTTAGTACAACACATTCAAGGGGAATTATGTTAGATTTAGATAAAGAGCTGGCCATTCTCACTATAATATTTTAAAAATAGATAACACAAAATGAATATATTGAAAATTTCACTCAAAAATTACTTTTTTGGAGCAAAGTTAACATTGATTGTAGTTTTGACAAGATATGTGCATTGATCGTAACCATCATATACTGGTCATTCGAGTCTTAGCCTTCCTTCTCCATTTTTAAGTTAAATCATTAAATGGTCAAAAGTTCGAATCTACTTAAAATCAGAGCCATGTCTACTTAATAATTTATAATAACATTAAGGTCCAAAGAAAGACCTACAATAGTAAGATTTGGCTATTATATAATCCCTGTTGAACTGAGATATTAAGACTTTGTGTTGAAACAAATGTAAAAGACCGTTTAATAGTAACTTCAGCATTATGAACCAAGTGCTCAATGTACCGGTACATGTATATATGACATGACTATATTCTACAGTACAAGGTATGATTAAGTCTACTAACATAAACTATATAAAGGTCCTTCAGACAGCTTTTTATATAAAAAAACGTCATTCCTGTACATTTAGGATTTGTTACATTCCTATATTTGCCATCATTCATAGTCCCCATGAGTATGATAGAGTACCTTTGCACTGGAGTTTTGAAAAGTTCTTTTAAATTAAAGTTTGACTTTCTAGTGTCATAACACTGTAAATTACAGCTTGAGTTTTGAACACTGGGTAAGATGGGGTGAGAACACTTTACAAAGACATACAATTGTATGTTAAGTCTTGGTTTTTGGTGGGGGGGCGAGTCTTTTATACCTGTTCTAAACTTTCAAACTGAAACTGTTTCTGATCTTTCTCCCGTTTAAGTCTTTCTAGCTGAGATTCAAGTTGACCAATCTTCTGTAGAGCTTTAGCTGGAAGCCCATCCTTCCATTCATCAACAGCCCAACTCATCTTGATATTTCTAAATCTAAATAAAAAAATAAAAAGTCTATTAACTTCATTTGGTTATTTCACTAAATACTAAAACCTCTTCCATGCTGAGAAATTAAAAGGAAATAAATACATTGTACTGTGCAGTTCATCTGTAATTCTCCTGACACCTCAATATCAGAACTATATGGAGGCCTTTAGTTCATAACTGTCAGAATTATGACAACAGTTTGACTCAATAAAAGCTTATAAGTGATGGCACTTGTATGTTAATGTACTGCAGCCTACTTTACTAATTAATAATAAGGCCCCAGCAGATTGACCATGCATTCCATCAGTCACTCAACTGAACTTTGAAGTGATGTGATGGTGCCTACTGTCTGATTCATCGGAAATTTTAAACGGATTTCTTCGATTATGAACAAACTACTTAACGTTGGTTATTATAAACTTACCTGTGTGTTTGTAATGAACTCCCGTTCGATAAAATCCATTGCACAACTAATTATCACAACGATGAAAACAAGTTCTCTCTTGAAAAATTGAAATATCACAAACTTTTCCCAGAGAAAAATACCAATATGGAAGATGGTTACGTCACTCTGCGGAAGATATCATTTCGTATTAGGGGTGACAGCATAGGAAATTCAAGTACAATTACGACAAGAATCCATGACCACTCGGACCAAAGATCACTCGGTTCAAGACCAGTCGGACCAAGTGATAGACCACTCAGCCCAAACAAATAGACTACTCGGACCATACAAAAAGACTATTCGGACCCAACAGAAAGACGACTCGGACCAATAATAAAATGTTGTTTTAATAAATTGATAATTGCGTTTGTTTTAATATAATTACTCGAACCAATAATAAAGTGTTATTTTAATAAATTGATAATTGTGTTTATTTTAATATGACTACTCGAACCAATAATAAAGTGTTATTTGAATAAATTGATAATTGTGTGTGTTTTAATATGACTACTCGAACTAATAATAACGTGTTGTTTGAATAAATTGATAATTGTATTCCAAATCGCAAAATATCGAGAACCACACTTGTAGTCACGTTTAAAAAGGGGCATATAAACGTCCGGTCTTCGTATTATTATGTGCTGTTTATATTAACGCATCAAGGGCGGATAACTTGAAAACGTGTCTCCACCCCCCACCCCCATATATAGTAACCCAGGGGTTAGTGGGGTAGAACGGAATGAAACCACTGGGGATACCGCGAATGTGGAAAAAGTAAAATTAGGCTATCAGACAAGAACAGTATACCCGTATATGTAGAAACTGTCAAAAGTCTGGACATACCGAGTCTCATTGCAAGAGTAAAGAAAAATTAGATTGATATTTTTTTTTGGCACCATTATTAATTAATTTTAAAACTAATCGTTGATTTATTTACGTACACAAAATTGAACCAAACAACTCTAAATATAAGAATTCCGTATAAGAATTATTTGCTTCTTTGTATTGTGATTTAATAATAAATAAATAGCATATTGTCTAGCCTTATAATATAATTTAATTGGTCCGACTGGTCTTGTTTTGGTCCGACTGGTCTTAGTCCGAGTAGTCTTTGGTCCGAGTGGTCTGGATACCTGCGACAATTAGCATTGAGTTTGAGCGTTCGCACACATAACTACCCGCATTCCTGTATTTAGTTACCGTCTTTTACATTCTAGTAAAATCTCTGCAAATTTTATAGCTTTACTTTTTGAAATATTTTGTTCTAATTATTTGATTAGCGACTCGGATGGGATTATTTACTTTTGAACACGCATGCCGCACAAACACAACTATACATTCGTTTTACGGGCTTTATCACACTTCGGACAAAACTGTCGAATCGAGAATTAATGTTCCGCTTCTTACGGGGTCATACGGGCTTAGTAGCATTATATACCCACCCGGGCACCCAATACGGCAATAGACACGCTGAGGGCTGCCGCAACACGCTTAAAGATGTTACTGAAGCGGTTATTATTCGATCGAAAGAATGCGTATAAAATTAAAAATACACTCAGAGAATTCGGAGGTAAGCTTCATGATCCTTGTTAAATTATTTATAACATAAAGAAGATAGGATATTTATAGTTTATTCATGACTTTATTTTTACGAGTATCCGTGCAATCAGTGATATTTTAATTGTGAAGAAAATTTGATAGACTGGCGATCAATGGTTTCCATATAAATCTCCTATGTAATTGCCTTCAATTGATATTTTTCGTCGCCCAAACCCATATACGATCAAAATGATCGCGCTGTCAAACTATCTTTCAATGTTAACCAACCCCCGCAACAGGTATATTGGATTCGACCAATACGTCACGAAGACATTGTTGACATCGACTCTGTCGAAATTACAAGTAAATTTTCAAATTTTTCAAGAGAGAAATTGTTCTCATCGTTGTGATAATTAGTTGTGCAATGGATTTTATCGAACGGGAGTTCATTACAAACACACAGGTAAGTTTATAATAACCAAAGTTAAGTAGTTTGTTCATAATCGTAGAAATCCGTTTAAAATTTACGATGAATCAGACAGTAGTGTCAGTGATTGGTATACTGACAGATGGTGTTATTCTGTGTTGTCAATCATTCACTTCTCACTCTAATCAGCTCAGTCTTTCTCACAATGTTTCAGTTGAGAATCAGCATAGACGAGAACACTGGGCAGGGCAGTCAAAATTAGAAAATTCAAAATAGAATGGAAATTTTGAAGACTAAGAATGATGCAAAGTTTTCATGATTGGTCCTACTAGCATCTAGATCCTAAAACAATTATTGACAAAAATCATTTCCCCTAATTCTACCAGTTAAAAATTATTACGGTACTTACAATGCTTATTTTAAACGCATTTTACTAATTTTATACTTCAAAATAATAAATTTAAACCGCGTAACTTCTGCGCATGTCCAAAGTATGTCGTAAATACCTATTTGTAAACAATTTGTGATTTCTTCAAAATTTGTTAAAGAAAATGTATTTTTCTAGCATAGTGTGTTATATTACAATCCATCCATGTGATATTTATCAATATTTAAAGAAATATTATTTTACGATTACCATATTCAAATACGTCGCTGACCCTTTAAACCTCTAATCAGTGAAGAGTTCGATATATAAGGGAGGTAATTCCTAACGGAACACAGGGAAATATTAATGTTTTCGTGTCTAATTTAAATTAAAAATGTGTCCCTTTTGTCTTTAATACAAATACAGAAAGGTCTGACAAATAAATGCTTGGTTTTAGTCATCATTATTTAGTGTAAAGAAAACAAACAATTTTGTAATTTGAAGGGAGAGAATCCTAAATAAAACCGGAAGTGAAATGACGTGGAATGTTTACATCAATGGTTTACATGGAAGTCCTAAATAAATTTGTTATAAAAATATTAAAAGGTCGATTTCTTAATCGCAGGTAAATAATGCTTGTGTAGGATAAGTGTTATACCTCATTTATTTTCTGAACCTCATTTTGAGAAAAGTGTGACTGTGTACTGTGGCCGAGTAGCTGAAACGTGTTTATTATTTTTAGATATTGAATTGTGATGCTTTCACTCTCAGAATTCCTGACAAGAAATAGAATGACTGGTCATTTCCGTAGTAGTGTTTGGGACCCTCTTCTAATCGTGTCACAGATTATCTCTATGCAGGCAATATATTATCTTTCTCTTGGATTCTGGATTTTTTTATTGGACCAAATTGCAGTATTTGACCTGTCAGTGGAACAAATGTTTACAATGAATGATTTGGGATTATCTGAAGACAGTGGTAGAACTAATGTCATAGCATTTGCCCTGAATAGTTTGACAACTGCTTTTGGTATATGGCTCGTTGTTGGAAGAACAAAGCAGTGTTTAGATTTCTCTGTAACAATTCTTGTCTTCCATTTTATTGGAAGCTGGATCTACAATGCACATGTTCCCCAAACATTTTGGTGGTGGCTAACGAACAGTGTTTCCTTGGTATTTATGACAGTTTTAGGAGAATTTCTGTGTATGAGAAGTGAACTTAAAGCCATTCCAGTGTTAGGCACTAAAGTGGATTTGTAAAGCGACACCAGTGATGAAAATATGTGGCGATAACCGACCTAAAGACAATTATGTAATTTGGTGAAGATCAAAGCACCAATTACAAACTTTGAAATACAAACTAATTTCTTTTACGTAAAGTAGATTTATACAGTAACACCAGTGTTGAAAATGTGTTACAAACATTGAAATTCGAACTAATTTCTTTTACTCTTTGTTGTAAAGTAGATTTATAAAGCGACACCAGTGTTGAAAATTTGCCACGAGAACTGAGCGAAAGACAATTAAATAATTGGGAGAAGATTATAGACTCAATTACAAACTTTAAAATTTGAACTAATTTCTTTTACTCTTTGTTGTTATGTATTTATTTAGAAAAGACTAATATTTATGTATTAAAATTAACCCAAATTAAGTCGTTTTTATTATGTGTACATGTAGTTAACAGAAATATTAATAATGGTGCACCATACAGAATCATAGCTGACAACTGAGACTGTGAAAAGCAAGACTGTAACGTGGGGGGGGGGGAGTCAAAAAGGTTTGTTGAGAGTTGGTTCATCCACTGATGTAGATAGATTTAAGTGACGTGCGTCGTGCAATGTAAATTACTTAAATTTCTCACTAGAAATCTACCATCACACTCACCCTGTGTTAATATTATACCCCTAGAAATCTCTCGTCAAACTCACCCTGTGTCATATACCCCTAGAAATCTCACGTCATACTCAAAAGTGTATTGTCGTATACACTAGGAAATATACCATATCATTTCCTTCTTTGTTTTGTTTTTTTCTTACAAAAGTTGAGCAATACATGTATGTAGATGTAATTAATTTATCTTTTCTTTATTATCAAATATTTTAAAGTACAAATTATCTATTACAATTTAAAATAAACCGATAACATTACATATAATACATTTATGAAAATCATAAAATACATAAGTAGACATATTTTTAAAATGGAAACCTATTGAGCATCTAAATTTTCCTTTTCACAAATGGTACAGTATCTAATTTACATCTATAGACAGTGAAACAAAAAATTCTCATTCTACATGTACCCACAAATTGTGAAAGGTTACTCGTACTACTCCTTGTCACGTACAAGCTGGGAATCAAAACCACACCACTTGACTCAATGACAGACCTTATGATCTAAAGTGCACATCTTAGACTATTTGCCCACCCCAGCCACTGCTGTCAATGTAACCAGATTGCTGTCAATGCACCCTTGCTACTGTAGTCATTATTATCAACATCAGACTGACTTTGATATAGTCACTTAGTTGAAATTCTTGTAGAGTGTGGGTGGGGGGCTTGTGGTCTATAGAGTGTCACGCTTTGATTTCTAGCTGGCCGTTCACCTCTGGCATGCAGTCAGTCATAGATTCGATCCCTGGTGTGAGCGCATGTGGCTTGGAGATAGTGTTGGCTTATCAACCTCCTTTCCTCCCACAGGAAAGACCCCTAATCAAATAAGACAATCTGTCTGGTCTGTCATATCACCACTGGTGGAAGCGGACACAGCCATTAAACACTAACAAAAGAAGAAAGTTCTGTTAGACTGAAGTGGGAGATATGGTTTATGGGTTGTTTGTAGGACTGGACTCCATGCCCATTTATTATAATAGGCCGGAGTCTTACAGTATCAAGTCATACAACCTTTGTGTCACACTGATCAGCAGTGAATATTCGCTAGGCCGCTACAATCACTGATAAGGATGACATCAATGCGACTTAATGAGTCTCAAATATTAACTTTTTTCCACCGACAAATTAAATTCTAAAACATTTTTTTCATGTATTAGAAAAATAAATAAAGACGTTTGACGTATTTGTAGGTAAAAATTATTTCCTATTTAGTGTAAATGTGACTAAAAGACAGCATTCTGCCCGAAGCAGTAACGTCTTATGTAAACAATGCACGCACCATTCAGCCAATGATGGACGCCGCATGCTGTGACGGCACGTGTTAAAGGCAGTAATCTTTTACAGAGATATTAAAGAAGAATTGTGATGCTCTGTGAAACAGACTGCCTTTGTATTACACATAACACAGAAATGAGGTTCTAATCAGCAAAATCGAATCATGTAAAATTAAGGCAAAAAGATGACCAATCCACTTAAACCTTACCAGCATGTTTATGGACGTCAAAAGGTCATACAAGTCTATTATAAATCACAGAAATCTTTATCGGACTTCCTCTTACGCTCTATCCTCTTTATCAAATTCAGGTCCTTCAATTTCCAGAAAAGCGATATTATCATCTTGATTACCCATAAAAAAAATTAACACAACTGCCCAAGCACAAAAATGGAGCAGAGCAAAAAGTAGGGCTATTATAGTGGCTGTAAAGGAAATGTTGGCATGTTGTCGTAGTGAAAATATATGATAAATGTAAGATAATGTTCCCATGGATAAATTTAATCCTGATACCAGAAGAGCACCTGAAATAGAAAATAAAAATCAAATTACATCAAAAACAAGTAAATGGATGGTCTTGCAACGTATTTCCATCCAAATCTATTGCATAAAGCACATGACCAGCTAGTAAATCGCCTGATATATGTGTGGGTTAGGACTCCGGGTTGTCTGAAGAATATTAGTAGCCCATGGGCAAACCAATGCACAGGTTTTGTCTGAAAACTGGTGGTTCAATCAAAATATCAATTAAACCCTGGATGGGCTAGATGATTTCTTAAGGCCAACTCAAGATTTCAAGGTCGCTGAGATGTAAATAAGATTAGGACACCTGATTGGTGAAGAGGGTGTAGGTTAGGCGATGTATGAATACAAGTATGCAATTACAAAGGTCTTGTTTATTCGGAGTTTCAGCTATTATTATCCCGATTACATTATGCAATTAGTGAATTATGCAATTACTGTTGTGAATAGAGTATGCATAAACTAACATGTTTGTTGTTGAAAAGATGACTATCCGTTAGGCCTAACCGTGGCTGTTTCATTTCAAAATGGATTAAGAACCCTGGGTTAGGGTTAGGGTAAGCATTAGGGCTAGGTCCAGGGTTAGGGTTTGGATTGGCGCTAGCCCTGTTTACATCTCGTGACCTTTGACCAAACTTGAAGTTGGCCTTATGAAATAGATCTAACCACGCCAGATGGCTCAGATCTGAGTCAGATCTAACATTCATCACACATACAAGGAAGTCCGGATTTCAAATTATCACCATGCACTGCTATTTAATAATATGAACCTTAATTTTCATTTACCATATTGAATATTGGGAGTCGCCCGAGTAACTGCCCAGTGTGCCCATGCGATAAGACTTGCATGTGTTTTAAAAATGATGTTCAAATACACTTTGTAAAACAGGTCTTTGAAGTACGAGCATATAGCAATCTATAAGAATCCTTGGTATAATGATGGTCCACTAGGTGATTCTGTTGCCTTTTCAAAAAATATTTTACAACTTTAGAGAATCTTTTTGGGTTAATATTTTGAAAATTTCTAGACCTGCGCAACAACCCCAGGCCAGAAATAATACCTGCATTGACGGTACCCGACCAACCCTTTTTTGACTGGCCAAAATCGACGAACCTAAACTAATTGTTCCTATTTCCCAGGAACTATAAATCAGTCAAATTTTAGCACTGAAATGTATCGGTATTTTACAACAGTCCGTTTCGGCATAATTGTTTTTTGCTAAGTTACCATTAACACTGATAATGTTGGATGGGCCTTATTTTAGTACCTGAAGCTGCGTATTGAACAGCTATATTTGCCGTCTGTGTTGTCATCATCACGCCAACTGCTGATGATAAATATGCGTTTCTACACCATGATAAATAGCCTGAAACAAGACGAACAAGAGAATAAATTAAATGAGGTTTAACAATAACATCCTACTTTTGTGCGCCAACTGGAATATGGGCATATGACATGGAGTGCTACGAGAGAATAAAGGAAATGAGGTTTAATGACAACCCCTACTGCACCAACTGGAATATGGACATACGTCATGGAGTGCTACGAGGAAAATTTGCCCAGACAGCAGTGTGTCAACCTACTCTACATCAAGCCAACGTGTACATGCCACATGGAACAGGGAATCTCAGATTTTCATTTCATCCGAACAACTTGAAAACTGTTCCATGTCAGGTCCTCCATCCAGTGCACCACAAGGGGAAACCACTCCAGTATACTTGCACCTGTGGAGCTCAGTATCAACCCCCTAACTTTATAATTTTCTGCGCTGTCCCAGAACCCTGATCTATGTCAACTATATGTATATATATATCAATCGTCTCCACCAACTGCATTACAAAACGCAGCTTGTACCCCAAAACTAAAAATCTGAGCCACCAAAATCCCAAGCAATAACATTGTCTAAGGGTGCATTTTATTATAAGAATTTACAGCATTTTGGATGGGAAGATATAATATTTGATAAATAAATATGGTCTCGTTTGTAGTTCTGGAGGACGTGTGAAATTGCATTTGTGATCCATGTTTTGGAGACAATAGAAATAACCTTACCATTTTCATTTGCCAATCTCACAGACTGAAATAGAAAAAGAGTTAAATGATCTAATGGTTATAAATGATAAAATAAAATTAAGAAGTGCAAAAAAAAAATTGTGGTAAATTTCTTAGCAAGATAGAGAGAGAGAAACAAGGTTTAACATCTACTCAACACAAACTAGGTCATTTTGGTACTAACAATTATATTTCAATAATCCGCTGTCGTGTAGGGGTCTTGAGAAAACCCACAAGGTTAGACAGGCGACCCTATTCCTAGTCACATACAACTGTGGAATTGAAACCACGCCAGTTGACTCAATGATACAACGTGCATATGCTAGCCATTCGGCAATTCAACACCCCCAAATTTCTTAGCAAGTGAGAAATGAAAATGGTACACAAGTTTAATAATATCACTAGACCACAGATTGCTATTTTTTCAGTTTAAATTATATATATTCGGAGATATAAGGGACATAACTCTGGAGGAGATTACCGAATAACGGTAAAAAATCAATAGACTTCTTCTTTTACGTAAGATAGACAAAACACACCAATTTCAATTTATTGCAGTTTCTATTGTGCTAACAAATGAAATGAAATGGGGTTTAATTAATGTCCTACTTTTCTGCTCCGACCGCACTAAGAAGATGTGCATACGCCATGCAGTGTGCTATGAGGGCATTTTTGCTTGGATAGCGACGCCACGGTCTACTCTTGTTTCGAATTTCAACTATTTTTCATCCCATCCAAATGACTATACAGTGTCCATTGCACCACTGACAAGGAGGAATCAAGCCTATTGTGCTAACAAGTAAAGTGAATGACAGACTAATGGGGATGACATCTATACAATCACCTTAAAGGAGCTAAATCGCTAATATTTCGGGCCTAAAAATGGACACAAATGGGTTGCAATGCATATAATAATGTAATATTATATTCAATCGTTTCCGTTTTTTACTCTAATTTCAAATCAGTTATGTTCTGCGAAATACGCGAGAAGTCTAGCGTCTGGTTATTCCAGTATACACCGGTAGTATTTATTGCGCATGCTCTCAAGATAAGAATATGGCGTTACCGTTGACATGACTTGTGGGATATGTCTAGCCTCGTTCTTTGAGTCCCTTGTTACAAATGGCGATGAAACGCATTATGGTACACGATTCATGTACCAATGGTAAAATGTTTATTTTGTCTTAAATACATGTATTGGATATCAGAAGTCCATCTTTTCCAGGTAAAATCACAACATCAATGTTGATTTAAAGATACATTATGAGAGATCAGATAACGAGTTAGCAGTTCTCACTATAATAGTTTAAAACCGAGAAATAAGCGATCGAAAGTTACGCATAGCCTCGTTCATCATTACTAAAGTCAGTACGACAAAAATGATAGTCTTGAATATCCATTTAATCGTTAAATCGAGAAGGAAAGTTATGCAGCAAATCGGTTCATAATCCAACTAATATCGCAGGCTAGCGTTGACATCGAGAGTAGATTATGGCCTGGATACATTAATTAATGTCTAATTAATAGTTTATATAACATTTCAGGCCGAAAGAAAGACCTACAAAATGCAGATTTAGCTCTTGCATAATGTATGTTTAAATTGACAAATAATTCGTGTTTTCAATGTCAAAGAGACTGTGGATGATATTGAGTTAAAGACTTGGCTCCAATTAATTGTAGGTAGGTGCATAATAATGACTGAAAGTGTTCCAGAAAATGATCATCTTCTGGAGTGCTAGGTTGATCAGATTGAATAAATTACCCATGCTGCATCTGTTGTCAATAGCTGGAGTTTTTTCAGATTTTCTGATTGTCTATCACCCGATTCCGTAGATTTGCTCCCTAATCCATAGTTATTGTTTCCATGTCTCTGTTGATGAACTGATGTCATTGCCAGACAATGTGGCATAGGCTGCTTATTTGAAAGAATCGGTAAGCATTCTGTAGTTCTTCTAAACTTGGAACCAGTACTCAGAAAATGAGAACTGGACCACAATCTGCGTGTTACTTTTTGTAACATGTTTGATTATTCTATTGGCATAAGCTGCGTTCTCTTATTACTTGATAGAAATTCTACACCATGTCTTTAATATCAGATCAAAACTGAAATAAAAAAAGCCAACAGTGAGGCTATGTCCCCGGCTGAAATCACCCAAAAAATACATGAAAATGAAATGAAATATAATAAAAGAAAATGAGGTTTGATGACCTACTGTTCTGCTCCGATAAGGCTAATAAAGAAATAAAGAAAAAGAACTAGAAGAGAGAAAATATCAAAATAGAAAAAGTAAAGTGTGGGCTACCATTATCATCATTATGATTATGAATATGATTTATGTAGATCGATGGAATTTCGATTCATCATATCTTTGTAAATACTGAACGGAATTGAACCATTTTTGAACTAAGATTGCTATACTGCAACTTTATTCAATATTGTAGATTGCATTGCAAATCACGCCCAGCGCCCAACTCATTTTTGTCTCTCCTGACTCCTCCAGTATAAACTGTTGTAGCGTGTTCACACGCCCTTGTGGACGGACGTGAAACCAAAGGTCAGTGGCGACAACAATGTGCATGCACATGCATATAAGCGTAGAAAAAAAGTATTACTGTTAAACCCAATCTTTAATCAACTTTCTGAGTTCCTCGCTTTTGCTTCAGGTGAAACTTTCTCTACTTTCAGTTTTCAAAGAAAAGATAACTCTAATAACCAAGAAAGTTCCAGCTTTTGCAGACCACTATTTAGTTGTATTTTTTTAATTTTTTTATTTATTTATTTATTTATTTGACTTGTTGCAAAGAGTGAATTTACTTTTCCCAGTGAACAAATAAATATAAAACGCTTGTCACCCATGCTACTGGAAGCGCTTTCCACTTTCATACGCTTGTCTACGATCATTCATTTTGAAATCTCTCATTTTCCAAAAATCTCCCAAACAATAAAAACAAACTAAACACAATTTATCGTCATAATTAAAGACTGTGAAAATATGAGAAAATAAATTAATTCAGTTATCGTTTACGGAAGCGTATAGGGGTCATGCAAAATTTTGTAGAAGACCTCGAGATCCTGCGATCCTGTGATACTTTCTCGAGATCTCAATTTAATGTTCTAGAAATCCCCTAATAAATTTCTCGAGAATCTCCCATCCTGCGTTAACTATCTCGAGAATTCGAGTTAATGTTCTCGGGATCTTGCCATCCTGTGTAAATTTTCTCGAGATCTCGGGTATTTTTATGTGTGCGCGTAGTTTTAACGTATTCTCAGCGCCCCACAACCTGTTGTTTCGGAGTTTACCCCCCCGCCCCCGCCCCACACACACACACACACACACACACACTTTCCCGAAAATCTTATAAGCACGATAGAGCCTACAATTTTTAACGGTTTTGTTTCAAATTTTGTGTTTTAACGGATTTTCGATATTCAGTGTTCCGCGACAAGGATAACCCATGTTAATTTTCAGCAATATAAGATTTCTGTCCCAGAGATATATAACAAGCACGCGAACACGATAGAGATTAGATTTCTTGATGAATGCTTGACCCTTATACAATTTATTAAAGAACCAAGTTTTCCTTTCGAATATTCTGCTGTTGATGCATAGATGCTGTGTGGGCGTATCTCCACACTTTGCGTGACTATCGTTTAAATTTCTTTTGAATCATTAGTGTCACAAGCAGAGGAACCTTATTTATTTTCGGCGGAACAATGAACCTTATTGATTTGCAGCACTCCCTGAAATTTTGTTATGGCGTTATTCCTATTTTCCGGTAAACCTTGTGAACGCGTTAGAGCCCAGAGTTTTTCAAGATTTATTATTTAAAATCTGCTCCGAAGCATTTGTGCCACAAGACAATAAACTCTCTGTCTAGCTTTATTCTAAAACAAAATATGGTCCGAAAACCATGCAAAATATGACATTTTCAATTAAACGTCCCCTACACATTAAATTGAAATAATTTAACAAGCAAGTCTGTAATTCAAAGCTTTACACATTAAAGCTAACGTGGTAGGGTTTTGAATTTCATATTTGGTGTGAAGTATTGGGGCCATAAGACGAAGAACCCAATCGATTTTAATCATATTTCAAATTTAGTGTAAATCATGGGTACCCTATCGATTGTCCGTTTATTCTTTCATAAGTTAGCAGCTTTCCTTTGTAACAAATGTTAGTGTATTTTTTTTATCAAATTTGGTGCGAAGTATTGGGACAATGGTTGCTTCACAACGTGGAGACACTATCATATAAGGTTTCGTATTAACTCGGGATCTCGAGGAAATTTTCATAGGATGTCAATATCTCGAGAAAATTTACATAGGATGTCAATATCTCGAGAAAATTTACATAGGATGTCAATATCTCGAGAAAATTAACTCGAATTCTCGAGAAAATTTACACAGGATGTCAATATCCCAGGAAAATTATCAAGGGATTTCGAGAACATTAAATTGAGATCTCGAGAAAATTACCAGGTGATCACGGGATTTCGAGAAAGTATCACAGGATCGCAGGATCTCGAGACCTTCTACAAAATTTTGCATGACCCCTATACGCTTCCGTAATCGTTTATAAGTTGCAAAGTTTTGAATTACAGACATGCTTGTTAATTATTTCAATTTAATGTTTGGGCGAGGTTTAATAGAAAATGTCATTTTTTACATGGTTTTCAGATCATATTTATTTTTAGAATAAAGCTAGACACAGAGTTTATTGACTTGTGGGCATGTGGCACAAATGCTTCGGAGCAGATTTTAAATCAAAAATCTTGAAAAACTCTGGGCTCTAACGCGTTCACAAGGTTTACCGGAAAATAGGAATAACGCCATAACAAAAAGCCAGGGAGCGCTGCAAATCAATAAGGTTCATTGTTCCGCCGGAAATAAATAGGGTTCCTCTGCTTATGATACCAATGATTCAAAAGAAATTTGAACGATATAGCCACGCAAAGTGTGGAGATACCCCACGAAGCATCTATGCCTCAACAGCAGATTATTCGAAAGGAAAACTTGGTTTTAATAAATTGAATAAAGATCTAGCATTCTTCAAGAAATCTAATCTCTACCGTGTTCACGTGCTTGTTATATCTCTGGGACAGAAAAACTTATATTGCTGAAAATTAACATGGGTCATCCTTGTCGCGGAACACTGAATTTCGAAAATTCGTTAAAAACAAGGTTTTCAAAGAATGGAGTGTATAACTCCGGAACGGAAGATCGCTAATCATTGAATATCAATAAAGTTCATGACCCCCAAAGCTTCACACAAAATTTTAAAAGGGAAGCCTCATGGCGTGAACAAGGCTTTCAGGGAGCAGGCGGGGAGAGGGGTATATTAAGGAACAGAAGGTCACAGAGCAAAAGACATAGAAATAATTATGTTTTGACTTTCTTAGAAAATATGAAATTCTCGCTTTAAACAAACGAAGTCCAAGAATACCATAATCTTAGACGACCCCCGTACAATAGATACAAAACAAATACAATTATATAGAGGGCGTGTCCCATCTTCTTAGACATCTTAATCACGATGCGATTCTAATCTTTAAAAATCGCACATATTTGTCTAAAATTGTCTCCAATGTAGAGACCGTCTTTGGAATTTAGTTAAACGTGGCAGCTATTATTCAATTTTGGGGGGTTGGATGGCTGAATGGTTAGCACGTGCGCGCTGTATCATAAAGTCTGTCGTTGAGTCAACTGGCGTGGTTTCGAATCCCCGGTTGTACGTGACACGGAGTAGGGTCGCCTGTCCAACCTCGTGGGTTTTCTCCGGGTCCTCCGGTTTCCCCCCACTGCTAAAGACCCCTACGCGCAAGCGAATTATTGAAATAAAATTAAAAAATATGTTAGTCCCGAAATGACCTAGTTTGTGTCGAGTGGACGTTAAACCCCATTTCTCTCCTTCTCTCTATTATTCAATTGAAAGTTAAATCGACTCAAATGAAAATGTTTTCAGTTTTTTGAGGGAAAGGTCGTTGAAAAAAAAAAGCGCTGACAAAGGTCACTGATTTTTTCATCCCGGCTCGTGAAGCTGATAAAGAAAATACGTTTAGTCGATCAGTTGGAAGAAATACCGAGGTTCAATCGTGTACACATTGGCGTGTATCCGAAAATGCCGTTGGCATGGTTTGAAACGGAGAGGAGTAGATGGAAAAGCCGTCGCCGTGGCAAAAATCGCCAATCGTCAAGGCCACGAGATCTAAACAGGGTTAGGGCACGTGATTGCTGCCGAAGATTGTGGGTTAGAAGGACTAGATCTTGGGTTATGGTTGGCGCTAGCCCTGTTTAGAACTCGTGACCTTGGCGAAATATGCAGGTGGCCTTAATATTTAGATCTAACCTGGGTGTGTTTAGGGGAGCGGCTATTTTGTCGGGCAGTTCGGTCCGATTTTCAGGAAATGTGAACTCAACCGTAATTATGGTGTAACGGTGCTATATTCGAACTGCTTTTAAATCGGATAAAAATTGTAACCTCTAGACCCACTAGAGGCACCACAAGTTAAAAGCAATTTTTCCTACAATCCGGGGCTATAATCCAACAAGTTACAGTCCGATATGCACGATTATGGAAAGGAACCAAACATACATTTCAAGTTTCATCAAAATTGGAGAAAATTGTGACCTCTAGTGTTCATAAACTAAAAACGTGATCCATGAAGTCACGGTCTGATACATGCCAGTTTCGAAAGGAACCGAGACCTTTCGGAGATAGTCCTATATTTCAAGTTTCGTCAATATAGGATAAAAATTGTGTCCTAATATAATTGAACAGTTTTTACAATCAAATGAAAACTGTTACTTCCATAAACTAAAATGTGATTGATCGTACAATCAGGGGCCATAATCCAGGAAGTGACGGTCCTATATGCGCCAATATCGAAAGGAATCGAGATATTTCGTTAGTAAACATACATTGTAAGTTTTATCAAAATCGGATAACCAGCGCCTGTCAGACAGGATACGCCCACATTTTCGAGAGATGGATAGAGAACAAGCTAAAAAGAAAGTGATTTTTCCTACAATCAAGGGCCATAATTCAGGAAATTACAATTCGATATGCGCAAAGGAACCGCGATCTTTGTGTTATAAACTTACATTTCAAGTTTCAACAAAATTGGATAAAAATTGTGACCTCCATAGGATCCACAACCTTGATATACCATATTTTTACGCTATTTGAGAACGAAGGGCGGCCATTTTGTCTGTCAGTTTTGGGCCGATTTTCACGAAATTCGAACTCAGCCGTCCTTAGGTGGTAACGGTGATATAATGATACGTTTTTTTTTTTTAAATCGGATAAACATTATGACTTCTATAGGGTCCACAAGCTAAAAACACGATTTTTCGTACAATCAGTGGCCATAATTCAGGAAGTTACGGTCCGATATGCGCGAATATCGACAGGAACCGAGGTTTTGGGGTTATAAACTTAGATTTCAAGTTTCAACAAAATCGGATAAAAATTGTGACCTCTATAGGGTCCACAACCATGATATACCATATTTTTACGCTATTTGAGAACGAACGGCGTCCATTTTGTCTGTCAATTTTGGGCCGATTTTCACGAAATTCGAACTCAACTGTCCTTAGGGTGTAAAGTGATATAATAATACTGGATGTTTGCCATCGGTGTTCAAACAGGCGGTGGTGAGACCACTAATCAAAAAGGAGTCTCTTGA